GATGGGATTAATTAGTAAAGTGAGATTTTTACTGAAAGATCTAAAATGACAAAGTTCATGTCACTTTGTATCTTAGAAACCTATGTCCAATTGTTTTCCTCCAGTTGCCCCCAAGTTTGAGGGCGTGGGAACCCATGGTTGGCAACACCTAGAAATAGCAAATCCGAGTTGTTACAACACGTGTCGTTGTGTCGAAACATTGGCTTACTGGTGTCAATTCTAGATCACTAACGTGGGTGGCGGAGTTGTGTTGCCACAAAACATTGCCTTACAAAATTGAATGAGATATTTTATACGTGATGTAAGCTTGTAGCAATATATATATAGTTAATTCCATCAAACACTAAATCTTTTTAGGAAATGGTTTTGTTTTCTTTGACACCCAAATTTATTTCATTTTTGAAATGCATGGAATTGGAATTTGAATAGGAATAATACTAGACATCTGTGATTGTGCACAGTTTTGGTTTAAAAAATAAAAATACAGTTTCTTGTATTTTATTGGTATTTTTGATATTTCACCGAGGCACATATGACTTAAACGATTACATACATCCAATATATGATTGTAAAGCGCTTTTATTATTGGTTCGATTTTTGAAAAGGCTAACGTTCGGGAAATGTTAGTTTGAACTATGTGGAAAATAAACAGGCAAAAACCCCAAAGCACGAGGCAAATTATGTCGCCAGTGGGATTAACTGGATTTGCTAAACATCTGCTGAAGCACACCAGATTTAAAGGATTTGTACATAAATTCCATACTTCAAACGAGTATGTTGAGTTCATTAGTGAACGATTCACAATGTACATCAAATTTGGGTTGTAAATTTTTTAAAAATAATTTCTTTAGTTTTGCGATGCTGATAGATCACGACTTGCTAAACGCCCCACATCATCATCAAATAGTAAGATTGAATAACGGTGATATTTCGCATAATTTGTTATATCAATGGTTGAAAAAACGTAATTTTTTTTTCTGAACATCGTCCGTGAGTTCCAGATCTCATTTATTTTGCTTTACCAGTTTTTCGGTATGTTTAAATAGGAAGTTATCCAGTGAAAAAGTCGCACACTCGATGAAGCGTAGAATATTATTATCAATACTCAATGAAATACCTGAGATCAACGCTTAAAAGTGTTGAAATGGAAATAAATTGCATCAGTAAGATCCTTTTAATTTGAGAGTACGTATTAAACATGACCTAATAGATAGTTTCGTTGAAGCGCGATAAATCCATATAGACTAGTGCATATTAGGCAAAGGTCATTTCGAAATTGAAACTTCGAACCGAAATCGACATAAATTAGCAAACCGAAATAAATTTTTTAACCTTTGATCTTCGAAATCAAAATAATTTCAACTCAAATTTGATCATACATGACCATAGATCGTTATAATATTGACCGTGGCAAAGCGTGATGGTATTTCAAAATTGTTATTCGTGCCCAGACAAAGAGGAGTACAAACCAGAAGGGTGTGTTTATGATATATGCCCGCAATGTCCCATCAGTCATCTCGGCAACGCGCAACAAAAACAATACGTGTTGATACAAATCCGGTTACAGACCCGCTAATCCGTATCCAGAGATGATTCGACAGCTTACCCAACCCTTTAAAATTACCCCAATTATACTTACGGAGGCGCGAGGCGTGTGTTTACAATACTGCGTTAAACGGCAATTGTTGCTGCAATGTATATAAAAATATGCTTTTAAAAATATCGCAAAGTTAATGATATTAGAACTAGATTCAAATCACAATAGCATGTTGATTCTCCTAGAATAATTTAAATTTATAGGAAACATTTAATTCAAACTTTGAACAGAAAAGTTAAATTTGCTACATTTTCAACAGTGCAATATATATATATATATATACTCTTTCTAGAATTATATAAAATCAACCTCGAGACACTGATAAAATAATTTAAAATATGCTATATGCAAATATGCATGAGCCAAGATTGATAAAACTTAATTTACCGAACAAGTGATCCCTATTTTGTTTATATGATTTTTGGGGGATTAAAATTCTATTAGTATGGTTACTTAAATTTTAATGGGAAAGTAACACAATTAACCCTCATAAAGTTTTTTGAAAGCTTTTTCAAGCAATTAGATCCTTACATCACCCCATAAGTGTGGATAATTTGACCGGTAGAATATTTTTGAAAGGCAACATTAATCACAATATACGAATTTCTGTCTCCGTCAATTGGCGAAATTACCCTTAGTGTTAATTTAGATGGAGACAAATTGATTTTTACTGTATTTGTCTACCATTTTAGTGGCTTGCTTTGTTATTACATCTCTATATTTGGGGTTTCTATTTGTACAACTATATGATATAACTACTTCACACTCATTCAGTGAAGAGTTTACCGTCTGCTAGGAAAGTTAAGTGGTTTACCGATACTTGGCTATTGCCATATTTCATTTCACTTAGCTGTTTCTTTGACAATATTGACTTTAATTGTTTCAAGTCACGTTTGTAATCGGTATCCAAAACCATCTATAAATAAATTCACAGTATTCAGTTTGAAGTGGTTTCATGCAACACTTCTGCAAGTATTTTTGAAATTGCGCGCAGCAAACTTAAATGAAAAAATGAGTTTGAAATTAGCAATCCCGTCCTTTAACTGTTGAATTGTCTACTGAACATTTCTTTCGCAGATTGTAGCGTAAATCTATCTATACGGCAGCGTCAATGCTTAATATTTGACTTTGCTTAACACTTACGCAGACGATTACCAGAGCAACTTAATTAAAAGATTTGTTACTCAACTTAACTGGGCACCCCGTTCATATTGAAACATATCTATTTAGATAACTTTTTAAAATTAAATTCACAACACATCATGTATTAATATAATAAGATTTTAACATTTTGTTTGTATGCGAGAGTAAATCCATTTTCCTAATGATATAATTTTTTTAACCGTGAAGGAAAAATGACCCACACAGAACATGATGACTTGTCTTTGAAAGTGTATAAAACTCAGAAAATATTTCGATTTTTTTGGAAATATTATTCGAAACCTAATATTAGATTTATGTCGTTTCATAAAACTAGTAGCAGAATACTGCTAATGCTTTTCTACGCGTGTTATAATTCCTTGGCACATAAGCGCGATACAATAACCTATTAAAGCGAGTAACAATTCTGGCTTCTGCTATTTACATTAGTTAGTAAACATATAACAATATTTCCAACAACATGTCCATTGTAATAATGCGCAAATGACGCTTGTATTGACAAGTCAACTATCAGCTTTTCCGATTAGCCTTACCTGTAAATATCAAGAAGGTTCCACCTCCTCTTGTTTAACTAATCTATTAATTGAGTACTGTCTTGTAAAGACAATTTCTGATCAACTTCCCACCAATTTTTACAAATATTTTCACACCCTCAGACAAAGCGTTGGAATGTATCTATGAGCTACGTTCTTATGACGAATCTCAGCCGAATCACAAAATACAAAAGCCGCATTGGGTATTTCACACACTGTTACATACAGAAAAGAAAAATTCGATACTATCTCGCGTATTTATTTGTCTTGTATCTCCCATAAAAACAACTAGTCTATTTATCTTTACAAGAAAAGGAAGCTCTCACGGTTAACAAAAGCCGTACAAGACTTTTCACACCTTTGGACAAAAGATATGCACTAATGCACTGGGCCTCTGACACCCGATATGGACGTTATGGACATTTAAAAGGATTTTGGTGCTACTGTCAATTTCCCTTCCATTGTTCGTCGTGTTTGGTTTTCACGAGATCTAAGAGGGCTCCACCGATACAACGTACTGTTCCCACCCAATCCACGAGCGATACACTAACATAACTTGAATGAAAATATGATGCGAAAATATTCTAAATACACAGTATAACAAAAGAACAAACGATACAATTATAGGTTCTATGCTGATATTATTGTAATCGTCATAATATCAAACGAGAATATTTTTAATTCAGGCTTTCTGTTGTGTTCGATGCTGCCTGGACGGTAGCTATATTTTCTCATCTACAAAACAATCCGTGTTACTCTTGATCAAGTAAACATCGACAATAAATCTTATCTAAGATGGATTCAAACATGGTCGAGTTTGCCAAGAATTAACAAATAAACTTTGCGACAATAATTGTCGGCTATTGTATTTATTCTCACGAATCTTATTCACACCTCCATTTATTAGTCATCCCCCGCACATCGACGCACCTTTTTCCAAATCCCCACCATCATTATTTCGTCATGTCGTCGCCAGGTGGCCAATAACATAAATTGTGTGGAATAGCAGTTCATGTCTGGTTTAGACTAGGGTTGTTGCTAGGTCTGAAGAATCCAACCCCTGACACCACTATTCATGTTGGTCAACATTGCATGGACCAGCAACGAATATTAAGGATTTGATATGTTTAAAGAATTTGTGTTTAACAGCCGATACGACGCGAATTTTAAGTTTAAATGTAATTTAAACTCGACTAATATGAATCTAGGTAATGAACATTGTAACAAACTCTCTCTTTCTCCTGCACTCTCGTGAAACTATGCATTGTTTATGGGTTTCAACTTTGCTTCATTTTGTCATGAAGACAGTCACATCAGAATAAAATGTGGAAATTACAACAGCGAATGTGCAATAATACCAAATTATATTTGGAAATAATTATCCAAACGTTTAACTTTAAAAGTTTTTTACAATGATATGATAAGACTACAAACCAATTTTCGGCAAGCCTATGTAATAGGGATTATTGGGTTAGGAGTAAATAATCTGAGTGTTACAAGTAAATAGTTTTGCAATTTTTATAGTTACCTATTTAACTATATCGGTTTATTACGATATTTTGGAATGAAATTATGAAGTTGCAATTTTTTTGCCCTATAAAATGGTTGCAAATCCTTTCTAAATTTGTCTTCTTTGCCCTAACCACAACAATTTCTGATCTTGCTATGGTCTAAGAGAAAATCAAATCTAAGTAAAACTTAATACTCACCTGTTTCGCCATTTGAAAATACTTTGTTCAAACTTGCATACTTCCATTACATCAACTGACTGTATCATTGGGAAATACATATAGTAATAATATAAACGATGAACACAACCATTTTATGCTCCATACGGAAGAGAAAATGCAAATTAGCGGCGTAACAGATCAACATAATCAGATCATCATTCCATCCAATTACGGTCGAATCATTTCGTGGGAAACTTTAACTTTTCATCTAATATTAAATCGAAAACAGAGGGGGGTCTTTTACAACACATACCCGTCTAACGTTAATGTAAATATGTAACATACTACTAAGCATGAATTAGTGATGAACTAAACATGGTAGTATAGTTAAGTTACAATCTTGGATGTCCAAGCCGACAATATTGAGAGAAAACGGCACGACCGCCATGATAAGGAAAATGCAGCCCCCGGTTGACCCCAAATTTGATCTCTTACACGATAAAGCCCCGTTTCTCCCACAGACGTAAACAAAATCGCCGTTCCCAGACATCGGTCAATCTAATGAATGTTTTATAAATGTGGATACATGAGGTGTGGTGTTGTCCTTTCTAAACAACGCGGGAGGTTGGCCAATTTTTTGCGCCAGAAGCTTGTTCTAGTGACGCTATTGATGTTACAAAATGACTTGTGCATCTCGTCACCTGAATAAACGTAATAATGATGACAAATTTTGACAAAACTGTCATTTGAAAAATATACGTAATTTAACAAAATTTCTAGCAACCGGTGATGACGTTTTTAACTAAAATTTTCATGACTACGGCCGGAAATTACTATCTACTGTCTTTATTGAAACTGCCGCAGCGACTGAACTAGCCCGAAACAAAATACATAATTATATTATACATTAGAAGTCCATCACAAGTATGATATTACTTAGATATAAAACTTGAGGTAAGCCATTAAAGATACTTAAAGGTTAAGTGAGATTAACAGTTAAATATATAAGTTTTCTCGCGAATGGTCCTCAACCCGCAAACATCCTTACAATGCTTTTTAATGATGATAAAGCCATAACTTGTGCCGGTAACTGGCCTCGCCGCGAGCCTTTGTAGCTGCCTGATTGAAAAATATATCTACAAAAAACTTGAAAAAAGTACTAGTCATAACATTTGTTACATGATATAGGATAAAGTATAATGGGTACTTCCAGGTTAGGGTTAGTCTATAATTTTATTCCAATTTTTCTTATTTTAGTTCTATTACGAGTTCGGGGACTGTGAATGTACCCGCTGCCCATAGGCTTCAGTCCCTTTACACAACTTGATGTAAAGTAGACGAACAAAATTAGTTACCTTCATATTGGTACACATACTTCTGGAGCGCCCAATAATGTCTATTATAATATGTTCCTTTTTATTAAAGCGATCGCAAAACACTATAAATGCTTCAATCACAAACTCTCCATACGTGGCTACCCTAGAATCGAGTAAAAAATGGTATAATGATATGTCTTTATTTTGGCGGGGGCTATGTACAAAAGATCCCAATATTTTACACCATTTCTAATAAGAATACAATACAATGTCAGCGGTTCAATTCGTTGAACTGAATGCTAAACACCAATATAACAGTATAATACTGAGCCCTGAAACTTACATAGCTTTGTAAATAAAGCGTTCCATTCAGAGTTCACCCTTTATATAAGTAATAATACCAATCATTTTCAAATAATATACACTGCAAATAAAATGTAGCAAACTGCTCAAAAGTGTTCACCCTGTCAAATAATTACTAAGACATTACCATGCAAAGAATATCACTGATTGGCGAAAATTTATACATACCAATTATATTACAAGCTTACAAAAATGATTTCCCAGTTTCGATAAAATCATTTCCCGTCCCAGCAACAAACGACCCCACGTAGTGTCCTAAATACTCAAAAATTAAGAGACGAATACTTTATTATACTTCCGTGCTTCTATAGACATAGGGTACGACAAACGTAGTCACATTGTTCTGCTCTGATATTATTGTGGCAGTGTCTATTCTTCCCATCTGACCACAATGAGAAAACTGGGCACGATTCACGCGAAATAAAGGGGTCAAAGGTATCGTTAGTGCTTTGTGTCGCATAACCGCTAATAAATTAAAGAAAAAGTTGGGAAAATATGCTGTTCTTGATATAATATGAATGCATATACAGAATTAATCAGATATTCGTTATTATTACTATAAAAAAGAAATAAACTATGTAAACATAAGTCATGCCAATGTAAAATAAATTGTTCGAGTATCTATCCTGGCCAATGAAAATAAGAATGAACGGCTATTCATTGGGCGACCGAGGTAATTGATCAATTAAACTGTGGCAAAATAAAGAGCGCAAACAAAAACTGGCACAGAGGACTACCATTTACAATGGTTATTCAACCCCAAATAGCTAAACAAAACAAAGATAGAACTTTTGCGCAGATGTTTGGACCAAGTAATTGAGGAATTGTTTCTAAAATAGACCAATTAACAAGAAATCTAAAAAAAATATCTTCATTATCAAAGACAAAGGGACGTCATGCTGGCTAATATGGAACAAGACAAGGCGAAAAGCCAACTAAAATATTTTACAGCAGGATAAAAGGGACCAAAAGGGACAACAATACCATAAATGGAATTAATTGATCGCCAATAGAGAAAGTCATAACTAAAATCAAGAACTTCTACTCTGAGTGGGGATTCCAAGACCAAATAAATGAACAAGTATAAATCTCCACCTCGAACTAATGGAAACAACTCGTACACCTGGTAAACAACATCTTCACATTTGGACAACTCCCTGAATCATCTTCTATATTTAGAGTTCAATTCATAAACAAGAAAGAAAAAATACCTGAAAAACTGGCGCCTAATTTTTAATTTGAATATGGACTATAAAAAAGTCTCGAACACGTATTTAGCAGAATTGTAAGCCTCTTTCAAAAAAGTACATTAACTTACAAAAATATAACGAACGTGCATTACAACATAAGTTCAATCGTGAAATATTGTACCAAAAACATTCCTGTAAGTTTATTTATGATAGATAACTTCAAGGACTTCGACCGCGTAAATCATCAGTTTATCATTAAGTTATTGGAAAGAGTAGAACTCGAAATAAAAATTCGAAAAAAATTAATTGAATAAATTAAAAGTATTATATATTATTCTGTCTATAGACATAAATAATAAATGAAAAACCCTAGTAAGAAAATTCAAATCCACAAAGGCATCAGACAAGGGTGTCCTCTTAGCATGCTCCTATGCACCATAAACTCGGATCCTCTTGCCAGAGCGATTAAACAGGACCAATAGATATATGCGTCATCAGATTAGGAATCTATGAACATATACTAGACTAGATCATTAATCGGACGACACCACCTTCACAGACGAGAACCCATCCGCAGTTCCTGCAATCTTTGAGAAATTGGAATATTTTGCATTGGCCACGAGACAACAAATTAACATGGATAAAACCGAAATGTTACGTACAACAAGCGAATCTAAATAAAAACTACTTAACTCATCATACCAAGAATATATATTACAACCATGGATGATAGTATTACAAAACTTACCAAAACACTGAATTTCATTTAATCACGACATTTTACAATACAACGTCCCATTAATAAGTTATTTTGGTATCCAGGAAAATTCGAACCAATAGCAAGAAAAACACTACAAAAAGATGAAATAAAAGACGGGGGTCCTAATACCATATACGTAAAAGCACGCATCAATGCAAGTCAGATAGAAAAATGCGGGGACTGGTGAATGCGGGGACAACAAATCTCAGCGTCTTATATCAGATCCTCAAAAAACAAGATCTTACAAAAACGGAAATAAACTGGAAGATGTGAATTTATTACAGAGTTACCCTAAATTTAAACCTATATTTTCAATGAACAAAGAGTCTGCAACTACATGGTTGTACACCTAAAATTTTTCTTCATTTCCCCAAAATAACCAGATATATCAGACAGTTGGGGACCTGTCCAAACAATATCAGCCGGACCAAAGTTGTGTGATAACGAACGAGAATATATACTACAATAGTTATTCGGGACCGCAACCTATAACAACAAATATTCTTTTTGATATTATGAAAAGAGAAACGATGATGCTTAAAATGAAATTGCACATCGAAAACCGATATATTGGGCCTTTCGATATTAACATAACAATAGCCGCAATTAAGTACAAGGAATTACTGATCATAATACAATATAAATACAAAGAAACTAACTCAGTTTTTAGGAATAGTCTCAAACTGGAATATACTTCTAAGTGGATATGAGCAAGGCAAATAACGACCATGAAGTCATCTCAAATTTTTAATAATTCACAATCAAACACACACGCACGGAAACGATAATGGGAAGCACGCCACCAAATGTGACGGGAAAGTAAATTGATATGGTAATGTGTTGTTAGCTCCCATCGGCATATACTGGGCATGAAAGCGCTGGGATGAATTCCAATAGTGTCGTCCTGATTCGTGTTTAAATAATAAAAACATCAGCCTAGGCCCTAGAGTTTGTGAAGTACGTTTGATTTTGATTTTCATCATATCAATTATGGCACCAAATATTAATACAAGATATGTAAAGCACACAAACGACGACTAGATACATAAAGCGGCTACAATACAACATATTTCAACCTTCACGCGATACTATACACTTGTGAATTTGGGTTTCCACTCTCCAGCAACGCTTATAACATCTTCCAAACCTTTCGTGTTTCAAGTGAGTCGCAATACCTGTAATTTTAGTTATGGAAGCTTAGCATGAATGCTTCTCCCATTGTTGGTATATTGGGGAAATGAAATGCCATACTGCAGCCTTTCGGAACGGGCGTCTGCCCACAAAAGAAGGGAAGTCAATCTTGCCGCCTGCCATATGGCCGGTGTTTGTAAACAACAAAAAAGCACAATGAAAAGATTTGGCCTGAACTTATTAACCCCAGAACCAAAGCACTAACCAATCGGCAATGTTTCTGCATTCACGGTGAATATTTTATTTGTGAAATACTCACTATTTGATATTTGTCATAGCCACATAGTAAAGCGGGAAATGTACCAATTTTTTTAAAGCATTAATATAC